TGTAAGGATCGTGTCTGCAAAATATTATAATTTTTTTATGTCATTTTTCTTTTGTTTTATTGTTAAAAGATGAAAAATAACGAAAATAAAAAAATAGAATACTCATCAAAAAAATGGTGCCGCTTGTTGCATTAATTCCTACAAATCATATTCTAATTTTAGAATGTAAAATAAAAATAAAAATGTAAATTTTTATTTTTATTTTACATTCTAAAATTAGAATATGATTTGTAGGAATTAATGCAACAAGCAGCACCTGGGCACCCCAGTACGCGGGGCAGGGGCTTTTTGACAACGTTTTACTTTTTTTTACTGTTTTTTAGGGCCAATTTTCTGGGCGTACCGAGAAAAATGTAAGGATCGTGTCTGCAAAATTTCATAATTTTTTGATGTCTTTTTTATTTTAATTTATTTTTCAAACTCAAAAAAGAACGAAAATCATAGAAAATATAATATTCATCAAAAAAATAGTGCTGCTTGGTGCATTAATTCCTAAAAATTGTATATTAATTTTAGAATGCAATGTATAAATAAAAATTATTCATCAAAAAATGGTGATGCTTGTTGCATTAATTCTTAAAAATTGTATATTAATTGTAGAATGCAAAACTTACATAAAAATGTAAATTTTTGACCCATCCCGGCCCCTGGACGCCCCACTACGCGTGCGGGGGCTTTTTAACAGCGTTTTACTTTTTTGTCCTTTTTTGGGGACATTTTTTGCAAGCATGCCTGAAAAAATGTAAGGATCCTGTCTGCAAAATTTCGTACTTTTTTGACGTCATTTTTATTTTATTTTATTTTTCAAAGACAAAAAATAAAAAATATCATCAAAAAATAGAATATTCATCAAAAAATTCTGCCACTTTTTGCATTAATTCCAGAAAATTGTATATTAATTGTAGAATGCAAAATATAAATAAAAATGTAAATGATTTACCCATCCCGGCCCCTGGGTGCCCCACTACACGGGCCGGGGGCTTTTTGACAACGTTTTACTTTTTTTTGTCATTTTTTGGTGTTATTTTTTGCAGACATGCCTAGAAAAATGTAAGGATCGTTCCTGCAAAATGTCATAACTTTTTGGCATCATTTTTATTTTATTTAATTTTTCAAATACAAAAATAGAGAAAATCATAAAACATAGAATATTCATAAAAACTTGTGTCGCTTGCTGTATTAATTCAAAAAAAATCGTATATTAATTTCAGGATGTAAAACATAAATAAAAATGTAAATTTTTGACCCATCCCGGCCCCTAGGCACCCCATTACGCGGGCCGAGGACTTTTTGACAGCGTTTTACTATTTTTGACCTTTTTTGGTGCCATTTTTTTTGGGCATATCCAGAAAAATGTAAGGATCGTGTCTGCAAGATTTCATAATTTTTTGATATCGTCTTTATTTTATTTTATTTTTCAAAGATGAAAAATAAAAATAAAAACCATAAAAAATAGAATATTCATCAAAAAATTCTGACGCTTGTTGCATTAATTCCTAAAAATTGTATATTAATTGTAGAATGTAAAACATAAATAAAAATGTAAATTTTTTACCCATGCCGGCCCCTGGGCCCCCTACTACGCGGGCCGGGGGCTTTTTGACAGCGTTTTACTTTTTTATCAGTTTTTGAGCCTATTTTTTGTAACCATGCCTAGAAAAATGTAAGGATCGTACCTGTTAAATTTCATAATTTTTTGACATTGTTTTTATTTTATTTTATTTTTCAAATACGAAAAATAAAAAAAATCATAAAAAATAGAATATTCATAAAAAATTGTATCGCATGCTGCATTAATTTTAAAAAATCATATATTAATTTCAGAATGCAAAACATAAATAAAATGTAAATCTTTCACCCATCCCGGTCACTAGGCGACCCATTACGCGGGGCGAGGGCTTTTTCACAGCGTTTTACTTTTTGACTTTTTCTGAGGCCATATTTTCTAGGCATACCCAGCAAAATGTAAGGATTGTGTCTGCAAAATATCATAATTTTTTTATGTCGTTTTTATTTTATTTTATTTTTTAAAGATGAAAAATAAAGAAAATAAAAAAATAGAATATTCATCAAAAAATGGTGATGCTTGTTGCATTAATTCCTACAAATCGTATTTTAATTTTAGAATGTAAAATATAAATAAAAATATGTAAATTTTTCACCCATCCCAGCCCCTGGGCGCCCCACTACGCGGGGCGGGGCCTTTTTGACAACGTTTTACTTTTTTTGACTGTTTTTTAGGCCATTTTTTTGGGCATACCAAGAAAAATGTAAGGATCGTGTCTGCAAAATTTCATAATTTTTTGATGTCTTATTTATTTTAATTTATTTTTCAAACTCAAAAAATAAGGAAAATCATAGAAAATAGAATATTCATCAAAAAATGGTGCTGCTTGGTGTATTAATTCCTAAAAATTGTATATTAATTTTAGAATGCAATGTATAAATAAAAATTATTCATAAAAAAATGGTGATGCTTGTTGCATTAATTCCTAAAAATTATATATTAATTGTAGAATGTAAAACTTAAATAAAAATGTAAATTTTTTACCCATCCCAGCCCCTGGGCGCCCTACTACGCTGACCGGAGGCTTTTTTGACAACGCTATACTTTTTTTTGTCATTTTTTGCAGGCATGCCCAAAAAAATGTAAGGATCATGTCTGTAAAATAAAAATGTTAATGTTTGACTAATCGTGGCTCCTGGGCCCCTGAGTGCGCGGGCCGAGTGTTTTTTTGGCAGCATTTTATTTTTTCATAATTCGAGGTCATTTTTTGCTTGCATGCTTAGAAAAATGTAAGGATCATGTCTGCAAAATTTTAGAACTTTTTGACGTCGTTTTTATTTTATTTTAATTTTCAAAGATGAAAAATATAAAAAATCATAAAAATAGAATATTCATCAAAAAAATGGTGCCACTTGTTGCATTAATTCCTAAAAATCATGTATTAATTTTAGAATGTAAAACATAAATAAAAATGTTATTTGTTTGACTCATCCTGGCACCTAGGCACCCCACTGCGCGGGCTGGGTGGTTTTTGGCAGCGTTTTATTTTTTTATAATTCAAGGCCATTTTTAGCTGGCATGCTTAGAAAATGTGAAGGTTGTGTCTGCAAAATTTCAAAATTTTTTGACGTCATTTTTATTTTATTTTATTTTTAAAATACAAAAAATAGAGAAAATCATAAAAAAAAATAGAATGTTCATCAAAAAATGGTGTCGCTTGTTGCATTAATTCCTAAAAATGATGTATTAATAACAACAAGAGGAAAGGAAACTTTCCTAATTAAAAGAATCAAATTAACTACCAATTTGAAAGTTAGCCGTCCAAACAAGTCAAGAACGTTCCCCCTTGCTCTAAATGTGGGAAGATGCATTTAGAAGAGTGTCGTCAAGGCACAAATCTATGCTACAGTAGCAGTCATGAAGGTCACCTGTCCTATAACTATCAGAATAAGACTTACCAGCTGTTCCAACAAAAGCAACAAAAAAGCCCACCAGCTTAGCTCTATAGCATGCAGGCCGCTATTGATGGGCCTCACATTTCTCAGGGCCGACTTGAGGCCCCTCCTGTCACCACAAATGCCAGAATATTTACCATGACAAAAGAGGAAGCTACCGCAAGGACTTCCACCATTGTTACAGGTCAGATACTTGTTAATAACCAACATGCTAATGTTCTTTTTGACACTAGAGCCACACACGCTTTTGTACCTTCTTCTTTTGCCAAAAGAATAGGATGGTGATGTGAAAATTGCAAGTGCACAATATCGCACACAAGTAATAAAGTAGTGAATAAAGTATCATTCCCACGGGGATTGCGTAATTTTAATTAAGTACCAAAATTGGTTAACTCTAACATTATTTGAACCTAAAATAAAATAGAAAAATAGTAAGAGCAAAATACAAATAAAACTCAAATAAATAAAACTAAAATAAATAAAATACTCAAACAAATTAAAGACTAGGGCAACTGATTTCACCAAATCTAATCTTCTTTAATTCTCTCAATTCGGAGGTGTCCGGGGGTTCTGGGGGTGTCCCGGGGGTGTCCTGGGGTCCCGGGGGTGTTTTATCCCCTCTTTCCTCTTAAAAGTGGTTTAATTTTTATTTCTATTTTATGTTTTTTACTTGTTATCTGTTTTCTCTTATTTAGGGTATAATAAAAAGTGGTCAACTTAGATAATGTTTAAATTATGGCGATCAGATTATATTTAGAATTTATTTGTCAGTATCATAAATTTGTTTCTCTACTTTTTACTTACTTTTTATTTGTTCTCTCTTATTTAGGGGATAATAAAAGGTAGTCCAATTAAATAATATTGTATGCATCATAAAATTATTTTTCTAATAGACAAGGAATATGATACTCAAATTCATGCCTTATTGCAATAGTCACGTGCGTGGCACGTGCTTTTTTTTTTTTTTTTTTTACTAGTAATTTCTTCATGTTTCTATTTCTTTTGACTTACTGTCGTTTTCCGTTTCTGCGTTTTCAGGTATTTTCGTTCCCCTACTGTCGTCGTTAAATGTTCGTATTCTTTGAAAAACATGTCGTTTTGACCTTTTTTACGTGTCCATGACCTTTTTTTCTTTGTCCACTTTTCCTTTTATGCTAATTTTTATCTATTCCATTTTCATTCCATTATAGTTTTCGCTCTGCGCGTTTAAATAGTCGTTACGAAGTAGTATTAAACTGTTGTCCTCCACTTGCGCTTTAAAATTTATTGTCGTTTTTGTGTTTGACATTTATCCCTTTTTTAAGTCGATTCCCAAGAAATTAAATCGTATTTGCAAACTACTTTCAGAAGAAAAAAGAAAAAAGGATGAAGATACACGCAAGTAGGACGAGGGAGATCCAAAAAACACAGAAAGCTAAGTAAACTAATGTCACTAAGTGATGAGTTAAACAATTCAACCAAAACAGTAGAGGAGAACAAAAATAATATTTTTAAAAAAAGTACAAAAAAAAAAAAAGAAGAAACTTTTGGGTAATAGGTATAGAAAGCAATCATGCAGTGTGTAAATTATATGAACTGTGGAGGCAAACCACAACAATGCAATCAGCATGTTGTGTTTCAAATTATACTCCGATAGTTCTGAAAAGAGGATAAAATAGTACAGTGGAGAAAATCCCAAAGCTAGCTCTCACCAGCAGCCAAAAAAAAAAATGCCTCTCCTACCAAAAGAATATTACATAACATATCAACACACCCCTATGGCAAACAAAAAAGAATTATTGGACTGCACCTTTCAACCCATGGAAATAAAGAACAACAGAAATGGCACAAAATTAAATTAGAAGTATCTCCTAGGTTGCTCTAACACCTAGAAACAAGGCTTCAAAGTGGATCTGCAAAATGAATATCCTGCCACATATCTCAGTAGCTGCTACCCATTGGTGGCATGCCAAAGGGTGGCATTGGTGGCATCCCCATTCCGCCCATAGGAGGCGGTGGTGCAAAACCTCCACCCATTCCCGGCATTGGTGGCGCAGGCAAAGCAAGAGGTAATAACTGAGCATACATGTTCTGCAGCAGTGGATAACATTTTAGGAAAAGAACACACAAGCAGCAAATAAGTATCGACATTAATACTACACCCGTGAACACATATATACTGGATGCAAAAGAGGTGGTTTCTGTAAGAAAATCGAAGCAACAAATTGATTCGAAGTGTTTACCTGCTGTGCAATGACGTCCTTCTCTTCCTTTTCTTTAGCCTTAACCTCAATCTGAGCTTCAATTTTGTCCTTCACAAGTTCATCAACTTTGCCTGTGTATTCACGGATAAACTGCAAAAACAAGCAGAAAGATTAAGTAAACACATATTTTACAGTTTTATTATGATACGTCCATGATTCATCTAGATACCCTCAAAACACTAAAGCTCCACAAAAATCAGACACGTAACATTTTAACATTAAACGCACGAAAGATGGCTTCTATTTTGAAAAGTGTGAATGACTAAAACTAACGGGAGATAAAAACAACAAAACGCCCATTTGTTACCTGTAACAGATACGGAAAAGCAAAGTCAATCATGTTGTTCATCCAGGCAAGCTCAAGGGCAACATCCACCCGAATCAAGTCATAGCAAACAAAGAGACATGATGCAAAGCACTCCTTCTTTCCCTGTAATCAAATTGAGATACATTAATTAAGGTAATCCAATAAATTATTTGTCATTTAGCAAAATAAAATCAAACTGAATTGAGTACCTGCTCAATGAAATAAACAAGCAATTCCTCAGCAAGTTCACGATCACCGGACTGTGAGGCTGTCTCCATAGCATCTTTGTAAAGGTTGTCCTTCTTTGATAATGCAATAGACTGCTTCCATCGGCCAGCCTTTTTGTATATATAAGCAGCAACACGTCTCATTTCAAGAAGTTCATGTTTCTCGATCTGCACAGAAACACAACAATGAGACTCATGCAATTGATGCATTAGCATGGAACCATTGACTAAAAGAATTATTGCTAACCTTCTGGGCAAGGCCTATTTGGTCGAAGTTATCATGCATATCAATTGATTCACGCAGCCTATCATAGTCTTCCTCCTCAACATATATCTCATTCAAAGCCTCATTTACAGCTGACACATTGTTGCTCTGAACTGCAACCATGTATGGCTTCACAAGGCGCAGATGCCCAGCCTGATTTTGTTTAAAGGAAGAAGAAGAGGAAAGAATTTAGTCTTACAGGTGTAGAGATATGCAATACAAGCCGTTATAAATTTCCAAACAGATAATATGCCAACAACAATAAATTACCTTCCGCATAATGTCAACAACACGGGTATGGTCCACACGAAGTGCAAGCACATTGAGAAGATCATTAATAAGGTCTGGATGTTCTTGCAAGTAGAAGTGCACAGCCTTATAATACAGCTCCACATTTGCAACTTTGACTGCCACATCTTTGAACTGCATGTGATCCCATGCTTCAGGAGAATGATTCATGATGGTAGTGGCAGCATTGTCAAACTCGTCATATTGGATGTACAAATAGGTAAGCTCCTTCCAGTGTTGTTGTTCATCACAAGCTCGTATAAGCTTGGGAATATTGAGACGAGTTGAGAACAATTTGATATGCTCCATAAGCTTCTCCGGACGATATCTAGCATACAGAACTCCCAACTCTGTAAAGATGCCCATATGTGCACGTTCCAACCCTAGACCACTCTCCATGAGAGATATAAGCTCATTGAAGCATCCCCTGTTCTGGTAATATTCACTGACCTCTTCCAAGTCATCAACCTGCATAAGCCAAATAACAACTCACATAAGCAAAAATGCTTGCAGGCTTTTATAACAAGAGAAAACTTGCAAGAGTATGCTTTGGTGTATCATACAAGCAACATAACTCCAGAAGATCCATGAAAAGGTCGGTGTTATTAGACTTTAAAATGCCAAGAGGAATTGCACAGATGCAAAATTTTACCTGAACAATGATGTTGAGCCCACAAATCTGAGCTAAGCGGAACTCCTCTGCATCAACACAAGCAAAGCAGACTTCCTTCCATGTCTTAGCACTGTTGGCTTTCCTTGCAGCATCAACAGCACCTTGGAACTGTTTTAACTTCACAAGTGTGCTGGCCAACTTGGCCCAGTTAGATATAAAGGCAAATATTATTTTTGCTGCCTCATATAGGGCTTCATCATACAAGCGATCACCCACATTCTGGAGATTAGCTACGTTTGGCATAAGAATGAACTCTTCAATGTCGGCCAGCCTATCAATCTTTGCATATGCATAAATAAGCTCACTGTCCACCTTTGGCTCTTTTGCCTTCTGCCTAACCATCAGAAGGTACCTCACCAAGTCATGGTAGACATTAGCATCCTCAGCAGCACGAATAACATCCAGGAATTGAGTAGCATCATCAGCACGAATAAATGACTCAATCGCATCGCTCACTAGTCCTTCCCTGAGTTGAGCCTTTGCCACCTGGCTCCAAACAGCATCTTCTTCAACACGGAATGCAAACTCCACAGCTCGTTCAACGCTTCGAATGTTGTCCAACAAGACATTGACAGCCTGAACATTCAAGTTAAACTTCTTGAAAATTGCAAATGCTTCTTCATACAGTTGAGCTTCCACAGCTACTTCTCCAACTGCAGGTCCATCAAAATTATCCAGTCTATTGATATAATCCATAACTCTAGATGGATCTGCCTTAATGGCTGTCAATATAAGCAAGTTTTGCAGATTGAAGTTCCCACTGAAAGCAGAGTTCTGAAGCACAATCTTCTCAAGAAGCTCAATTAATTCATGGGGCAAGTCAGCAGTCATGAAAGCCTTAACAGCTGCAGAAACTTGCTCGGGGCTCTTGCTTTCAGGCAAAGCTGTAGACACAACTTGATCAATAAGCTGTCTTCTATAGCCATTCTCAGGGTTAAGAACTTTCTCCCACAAATCGCCATCCATCCTTTCAACCACGTATCTGTAAACGAGAAAGTAATTAGTATGTCCAAAAAATGATGGCATAGATGGAAAATATAAAAATGAATACTAATTACACCACAAACCTTGCTTGCAATTTGAACAATGAATTTTTATTTGTCACATTGATGAGTTCTTCATCACACTGTCCTCTCCGGTAAGCAACAACAGCCAAGGTAGGATCACGTTTCTCACAATATTTACCCACAACACGAGAATCATAGTATGGGTTGGTGGTAAGGAAGTGCTCTGGGTTGTTGTTGCTATCAATAATGATTTTCCCTAGAGCATTATGGACATGTACATCTTGGCTTCCCTCACTCACAAGATGCTCCAGGAACTGTGTGAGCAAGCGAAGTCGATTCCTAAAATAAGATAACAAAACATGAGAAATTTTTATGAAGCAATGGGAATAATAAACACAATGGAAGGAGAGGAATGTCACCTTTTCTCACATTCTTCCACAAGGGGCTCTACCGGAAGCAATGAACGGACAGAGAGAATCAAACCTTTGATAAAATCTTCAGGACACTCATCATCTAGCAGCTGCCCCACAACTAAAGGTGCATTTCCAGGGTTCACCTATGAGATGGCAGCAAAGTCTCGTATCAATGAGCAATACATTTGTCAAACATATGGTACTTTTTTTTCTTTTTTCTTTTTTTTTCTTTTTTTTTTTTTTTGTAACATTGTACTTGAAAGTGTTAAATGTGGCAGAAAAGAATACCTTTTGAACATAACCTTCAATGTAGCGAAGCATGTTGTTTGAGTACAAGTAATGTGTGAGATCTGGAACAAATCCAAAGCGATCGCAGACATTGATCAGTGGACGCGCATCTGGGAGCTTAGCTTCCATCAAAAAGTTCTTTGTTTTCTCAGGGTCATAGAAATTCGATTCCCTTGTAACACGTTCAACCTCTTTGATTTGACCAGTTCTAGCAGCCGCTTCAATGTACTTGAAGTGGATATCAGGATCCTCACTGTCACATATTGACAAAGATTTAAGAAAAAAGAAAAACAAAATGAATACTTGGACAGGAACAGCTAGGAAATACCACCTAAGAAAACAAATAAGTTCTCCTTGAATGAAAAGATTACCTTGAGCTCAAATACGATCCTAAGAAAAAGTACAGGCCTTCATAAGACTTAAACTGCTCAAAAATCTTTATGCACGCATCAATACCCAACTGCTCACAATATTCCTTAGCAACCTGCACAAGAAAAGAAATAGAAAGTTCAGTCACTGCTACAAAATAATAGTTTTCACCAAGACAAAAGACCAAAAATTAATAAAACAACAAACCTGCACAATTATCTGAAGGTTGCCTCTTAAATTGACCAATAAAAGGTCCTTCATGCACTCCAATGCCCATTCTCGTGAAAGAGTTCCGAAAAATTCTACAAGGGACTGTAAAAACCCAACAGTTACTAAGAAATATTACAACATCCTCTATCAAGAGAGATAAACAAGAGTGCACTTACTTGTGGCTCAATTGCATGTGTATTCACAATAACTCGTTTAATATCTGGCAACTCCGTGTAATGCTGCACCCAATGTGAAATGTTTTTCAGTGGATGCCAATTTTAACTTAATAAATTGAGACCAAAAAAAAAAATTACAATCATAGTTGAAAAAGGATTTTAAGAAGACATATTACTTGCAGTGCTCGCACGTAAAGACCAGCTTTTTCACAAAGTTGGGCAATTCGAGGGCGATCATAGTGGCTGAACATTCCATTCGCTAAAATTGCATCAGCTACATTTGGAAAAGTTACCAAATTGATTTCAAGAACCTGTGTAGATGAAAAATGTCAGACAGCAAAAAATAGGCAGCAATGTAGAGAGAGCTTGTAATCTCAAAGAACAATAGGCACCTTTGTTTGCAGGAAACCATGTTCTGGTAGATTTGGCTTCAAGACATCCAATAGAAAGGCTGTTGCCTCGCGGATCAAGTTCCTCTGGGGTGCACAGAAATACAAATAAAAAGTATGATCTGAAATGCTTTACAATTTTGTAATGCCAACAATTGCATAACAAAGATATAATAAAATAATAACAAAAAAAAGGATTTTTAACAGATCGGTATATATCCAATGCCTAATAATGCATTCCTTAAGGATAGCAACTAAACGCACCAACCCAGAACGTAACCTGGAGATGAAACTAGATGTCCCCAAAAGAGGAGAAAAAGGAAGCTCGCCGACCGTGAAACAAAATGTTACGATTTCACAAGAGTAAATGGCAACAAACCTGAAGAAATAGATCTGTTATGGTGTTGTAATCAACCGGGCAACCTCCCTCCATTTGAGACATCATTAATGCAAAATTAACAGCACCCTGCATCCCCAAACACAGATAAGTCATTCAGAATTTTTAGTCTACACTTGAGAATAAAAGTTTTTATCATACAACAACAACAAGCTTTAATCTCAACTTAATTGGGGTCGGCTATATGAATTTCACTTTTCCACACGGCTCTGTTCAAAATCTTTCCTGAAGGCCTAGATCTAGAATGTCTTTCCTAATGACTTCGGTTCACGTAATTCTTAGTCTACCCCTCCCTCTCCTAGTATTAGGTATAAGAATGTCCTCCCAAGCACAGACGGGTGCTTCTAGCGGTCTACGTTGGACATGCCCGAACCACCTCAAGCGGCCTTCACGCACCTTATCTTCTATTGGTGCTACACCTACTTTACTACGAATAACTTCATTCCTTATGCGATCCATTCTCGTATGGCCACTCATCCATCTTAACATACGCATTTCTGCCACACTCATCTTAGATATATGTTCTCTTAATGGCCTAACATTCACTACCATATAACATAGCTAGGCAGATTACAGTCCTATAGAACTTTCCTTTCAACTTAATAGGCATCTTGCCGTCACATAAAACTCCCGTAGCATTCTTCCACTTAACCCACCCTGCCTTAATCCTATGTTGAATATCCTCTTCTATATCTCCTTCATACTGCACTATAGACCCAAGGTACCTAAACTTCCTAGAAGCCCCAATCTCCACACCATCTAAAGAAATTCCATCACTCTGATTACTTGAGTTACTAAACCTACAATGCATGTATTCAGTTTTATCATATATTTAAAAAAAAAAAAAAAAAATCTTTTCGCCTCTAAAAAAATTTTCTTTGCCCTCTCTCTTTCTCTCTTTTTAATAGTTTTCTTGGTGGATGAGGGGGTTGGAGAAAATTTGGGAACGCAAGAAGCCAAAAAACCCAGATAAAATTACTTGAAATTTAGCTCCACCTGTAACTTTTCTACTATTGTGCAGTTTGAATATGCCTTAAATTTCGTCAGCTTGAATATACTTGCATTATTCTATGCATACCTGAGGATCTGTACGAAGAATTGTTTGCAAAAGGAACAGATAGTCCGGCGTGTATCCAACCTATAACAAAACAGAGGAAAATAAGATTGATCCCATTATGTAGCTTTACCTCGAATCATTATGCCAAATATAATTTAGAGATTGATAAATAATACATATATGTCACCTGCTTCGAGTAGATTAGAATTTTGTCAAACTCCCTTCGTTCAGCAAAAGCTGCTACGACTTTTGGAGTTGCTCTGGCTTTGATATATATTTTCAAAGCAAGGTCATTGTCAACAGTCTACAATAAAAACATGATTCACCAATAAGCATACACATAAGAGGTGACATATTGAAGTCAAGGACTAAGGCATTGTTAAGGGAAGAAACAAATACAGAAATTTAATTTCAGACAAACCTTCACAAGATCTCCTAGTTCCTCACTGCATTCCAGTTTGTCTTCTGCCAACCAATTTTCTAACAAATTCTTCTTGTTCTGGTTCACTACAAGACGCGATAGCTCCAAGGACTCAAAAGCATTCAGTTTTCCTCTTGTCAAGAGTGTCCCAAAGTACTGCAGCAGAGGCGGTGTTTGCCCAGTTTGCACAGGAACACTCTGCACCAAAAAGACCACAAAAATTACAAAGGTCGATCAAGAAAATTCAATATTCTCAAAAGCAATGTTCACCTCGAGAAGGGAGCAGGAATCTGTATCTCGTTACAGCCAAGGAATATCCAGTTCAACTTATTAGTCAATTATCCAGTGTTTTATCTCAATTAGGTCTATTCAGGAATTCTAGCTTTCTTGAAAACTTGATACTGAAATAACCATTGCAAATTTTGTCTCCTCTCTCTAAACAAGCATCTCATCCAACATAAGACCATTCAAAATAAATCAGAGATAGCCATATCATCCCATTTTAGTAAACTGGCCACCAAAGGGAACGTCCTCTACTTATCTCCGACAGAGTTTTGGTCAACACAAGCATCTTTCATAGTCGGCACAAAATTGAAAAGAAATTTCCGTATACAGAACAAATTTTATCAGAAATGTAGCATTGGAAGCAAAATAAAAACCTGAAATTTGGCAACGGTATCAGGGGTACGGAGGATTCCTTGTGGTGACTCAGCAGCAAGCTCAGCAGCTTCTTTATACTTTGTCTGAGCAAACAGTTCTTGGAATCGTTGGACAACCTATAAGGATCAACACAGCATAACAAGTTCTTAGTATTCAACAAAAGTATGTAGTAACTAGTGATATCTACTCAACTTGTGACAAACGTATCCAGTCATAATCAGTAAGAAATACGTAAGGGGTATGGGGTATGCTAACACACAAACCTTGGTGTCCTAATTCATGCAATCTCATATTCTATTAAGAAAGTAGTGAAACAAAAAAGTATATAACACAAGCAACAGCAGCAGAGGTACAGCTGCTTCAATGGACGTGCCTGCCAGGTCACTAAGTTACTAACAAGTGCAAAAGAATTAGCATAGTTGTGTCATTCAATAAATTATTTTCCTAACATATCCTACATTTCAGCCAAAAACACATGGCTTAATGGCTGTAAAAATGGCAACCAGAATTTCTTAAGGTGTTTACAACATTAGCACAAATAAAATTATAATTCCATTACCACTTATAGTTATAAATAAATCTCTACCAAAGACTATTTGTTCTTAAGAATCTAATATATTTGATAGAGAAAAAAAAAAAACCTTACCAGATTCTCAGCACCAGGAAGGTTTCCTCTTTTGGCAAGATTGACAGCAAGCTCCAAATTGTTCAACTGCAAGAAATTGCTAGATAATATTTATAAACAATAATTTGAATCTTTTCTAATATCAATAAAGAATAGGCAATTTGTGAAACGTACCTGACCACTGACAAAAGGGACGATTGTTTGTTCATTAACTGTAGCCAATAACACCTGACCCCTCCTATTGATTGCATAAAAGCCTCCAAGAGATGAAGCCTCCGCTGTCAAAAAGATTGGATCTGGACTAATTCTATTTCTGTAAACTGCAGTAGCCGTCTCCAAATCATAAACAAATAGCAGTCCAAGCTTGGTGATTACATAAATCAAACTGTACTTGTGCGAGATCTGCAATTTAAAAAACCAATGATTAATATGGATACTGTAGAATCTGCAGTGTAAATTAGTAGAACAGATTACAAATATTAAATCTTATTACCTGCATCGCAACAGGAAAATCATCAGCAAAATCTGGAGGAAAGAAAAGATCTGCTTGTTTCTTCGTAAAAGACGGCTTTCCTGCAAATAAATTCGCAGAGTAAAAAATAGATAATAATCATTCATCAAACAGCATGAACGTAAGTGAAACGATTGACAAGAAGATGATCTTGGTGATAGTCTGAAATCTGATTCATAAAATGGAAATTGCTTAACTCCATCATCGCAAAACTTTTCAACCCATTTCCGACTTGCTTCAAATCATTTGAACTCATAAGTAACAAAAAAGGTCATGAACAACATTTTCAGATTTTTAAAGCTTTCCAATGGTTCAGTTAAAATGCTCTATCTATCCAAACCACAGTAAAAACATTTAACCCTACATAAATTCTTGACAAATTTGAAGATCATGTTCTCACATTAATTTAACCTGGATTATTGTACTGGAAACAAGTAGCAAACCAAAATCTTATAATGAAATAGTTTCAAGATTCCTCAAATAAAACTGCACTACTAGAGAGAGGAATCAATCGGATATATCAGGTTAACCTGGTTGTGCACCAAGCTCGATGATATGTAGCTTTGATGTAATCTGCCCAGCATTAAGAGTCTTTGTTGCAAAGGAAATAAGAGTAGAAGGATTCTCATTTCCTGGAACCTGTTTGCAGCCCAAAAAAAAAAAAGGTTAACCAAACAATTAAGTGACAAATACAAAGCGTATTTCATGTTAAGTGAGTGTGTGCGTGTGAGAAAGAGGAGGAGATGGGGCAGGGTAAAAAAGAGAAGGAATGTTAGATAAGTAAACTTGCACACTTTGAATTGGGCAAACGCAGCAGCATGTGCTTCCAGAGCTTGACTACGCTGTTGATCTACCGAGAAGAGTTGCATATTCCCTTTCACCAATTGTGGCCGCTGCAAACAGGTAAAAACAAAAAGAATATTAAGAGCAAGAATCATAACAACTATACTGCATTTCAGAGGATTTCAAGTGACTCGCACCACGGCAGGAGCACATGCAGAAGAGCATACAATAAGGTATGGAAGCATTTCAGAGGCAAATAAAACTAAACAAGGGCCAGTTAGATTTGAGCTCTTTGGCTAGCAAGATGGGTTAAAACAAGTCCTTCCGTTGAAGTGAGATGGAGTATATGCAACATTAACAACTACATTTATATATTGGCCAAAACTCTATGATTAGTCTACGCATAAGAGTGCATATGAGTAAAGATCTTCAGACTAGTGTTGAAGCAATAAGAACACACCTCAGGCGCACCAGGAGCAATTCCAATCAAAACCAACCACTTCTCAGAAGGATCACACCGATAGTTTATTATTTGATTGTTCGCCAGATTAGCAGTTCTTTCAAACATCTTCACAGGTTCACTCTCACCTACAAGGGAGATGAGTGCATATAGTCACCAACAATATAATAAAACGAGAAGACAACAGCATCACATTTAAGAAAAAAAAGTTCAAAAAAAAAGCAAAAGAAAAGAATTTTACAATTAGCGCAAAGAAATATGAACTTGAATCAATTTTTTATCAGGGAACACTACCTTCAATTGACCAATGATATACTGAGGTCTGGGTGACCAGACCCAACAGCTTTGGGGTAATCCATTTCCAAAACACCACCTACAAAAGCAAGTGGAGGACATGTTAAACCAAATAACTTTAGTATGATGAAGTTTAATACCCAATCCTGATCACATCTCAGAAAGATGCTATAGAAAGGAACTTCTCACCTGCTCAGGCATTAGATGTGATTTCAATTTTGTTTTCAACTCAATGTTAAAGATTTGTAGGTGATCCTGATTAGTCCCCTGGACTTGAGCTATAAAGAACATAAGAGGACATTAACCCATGAAGAAGAAAATAAAAAATAATAATAATAAAGCTAAGAAACAACAGCAAATAAAATTCAAAACATAACCCTATCGAATAAAAGCATTGCACACGCATTTAGAACTTTAAAAGTATGCAGGTAAGCCTGTAATCAAACTACATAACAGATTTCATAGCCACCCTATATATATATATATATATATAGAACAACTGGGATTTGGGACTAAGCAAATTCGTCCTTTATGAGCAATAGCAATCACAAATAACATAAACGTTGTTAGGGAAGCATTCACATCATTGCTAACACCATTTATCACCAGTCTAGTACTGTTACGATCAAATAATAAGAAGGAAACGGTAGCATTTCAGCCATCAGAAGCGACGTCCATTATGTCATTAACAGCAATCGAAATATTAGAAACCCAAAAAATTGTTGTACGAGCTAAATCATCAGGAGACGCAATCGAAATATTCAAAACCAATCCAAAGGGTGGACTAACAGGTAAGCAAAGACAACATCCATGTATAAACTATGATGAATTAACTATGAAAAACTTGACAGGAATGCAATATTGAATAACCCATGAGACAATAAGATTGCTTAAGTACAAGTAATTACTGGAAAATACACTCGTGACGCATTGGATATAAAGAGAGAATATATACAACCAAATACCAAATATAGCAACCAAAACACTAATTATTTTCAAATTCCATATATATAATCATAACTCACCTTTCAGTGCAAGAACTTTTGAATTCGGATTCATTAGTGCAGAGTCCGCAGTAATAGGCCTCCTCAAAGGTTGATTTGGCAAATTCATATCAACAATAACAATACTATTCTGAGGCGCCGTTTCCCGCACGCATATGTATTTATCCGATTCCATCGTGACATGCGTAAATGTGATGAATTGTGGACTAATCCCAATGCTCGGAAGCTGCAAGCACATCAGATCACAAAAAGTAAATTCCGATCGTCAATTTCTAATTTTGGGGTAAGAACTATCATAACCATACTAATTAACAGAAAAGTGCAATTGCAATTATATCCGATATAACATGAATTAACTCGACAGATCTGACGGGAACCCCAAGGAAAACAGATCATCAGATCTGAATAAATTTCGACACAACTAAGCACTAGAAGCACATTTCAAATAAGAAATCGAGCTAAGCTACGATAAAGTGTAAAAGAAAAAACCGAATCTGAAGGTGAAAAGAATCAGCAAGCCTTTGCAATTATCAAAACCCAGATTTTTTCAGCTCAGAAACCATTACAAATCCAAAATTGAGCTTTTTCCACAATCACATCAAACGGAATCAGAAAGGTGGGAAATGAAATAGAAATCGAGAGAGAACTCACCGTTAGGGCCTCCCTCATGGCGATTGGAGCGCTAGCCGCCGCCATGGTTGCTCGGATCTAGAGGTGAGATCGAACCGCGAATTCGCGCGACAGAAAAAGCCGAAAGGGCTACGGAGAGCGTTTCGAACCCTCGCGAGGGATCCGAATCGCTTCGAGATCTGGAGCAGCGAAGGAAATCTCTGCAACTTCTATGAGTTAGGGAGGAGAGAGAAAGAGATCTACAGACGAAACAGAGAGAGAGAGAGAGAAAAAGGAGAAAGAATGATGGACGAAGAATGATGGTTCCGATATTTATAGTCGGAAAGGGAAAGGAAATGGAATTTCCAGTGAAACGACGAGAGAAGCAGAGATCTTATATTAAGGCACTACGAAAAACAAATTATTATTTATTTATTTATATTTATATTATCAAAAATGAAAAATCCACAGAGCATTTGATAGCCTTGGGCCGGGTTTGTGGGTCTGTTTGACCCGAACCGTATAACCGGATGGTTTTGCTTGGCTGGTAAGCAGTTTTACCACTTTCTGTTAACATTTCTTTATCGGGTTCGTTATTTTTTTTTAAATGATTTGCTCGTAGTTTTTTAAGGGGGAATTCTTTAACTTAGGTTGTTAGATGTATGCAAATATAAAATTTCATTCGAAAAGCCAGAACAAAAAAAAAATCATTCGGACAAAGTGATTTAAAAATTTAAATCATGGTTTTTGACGTTGTGGAATTTATAGTTGTCAATTACCAAATCAAATATTAACAATTGTTTGGTGATATAGCTTAGTTGTAGAGTAAATTATCCATTTCTATGTTTGTTAATTTACATATAAATAGTCAAGTTAAAGGAATTGCAAAATAACAAAGTAGATGAGTATATTTCTCTAAAAATAGAATTACATTCTATGGGAAATTTTATGGTGCATCTCCCATTTATGACTTACTGATGGAGCCAGTATTTTTGACAGGAAGCCATAAAGGTTTTGTTGATTTTTTTTTTCCTTTTTGCGGAAAGATCTTCAAAAGCTTATTATCTTTGACTTTGATTAAATGAATGGAAATGACGGAGCATGTTTTATTTGAGTAAATTCATAAACTTTTTTAGGTTTTTTAGTAGGAAATTTCATTGTAAGGTGAGCCAAATTACCCTACTGGTAGGGTGTGATCTAGGTTTATATCACATCTCAGTTTGGTCTATATAGTCTCTCTCACAGTGTATTGCAACATAAACACACTAAGGGTGTGTTCACTTTACCAATCAAAATTTTTACAATTTGAGTTAAAGTTATGATTGGAGTTAGAATCATGATTGGAATTGTGATTGGAATTGGAGTTAGTGTTTAGGAGTGCATTGGAGTCTCAAGTTTGACTCACAATTCGAGCTGTGATGTGTTCATTTCACAGATTCATAATTCCAACTACCATCTCAATTCTCTTTTATTTTAAATGATATGAATGAAAAAAAAAAAAAAAAACTTCTACCGTTAAATTGAAGAG